ACAATCAGGCCCCACGGCTCTGGGGATTTAAAGGAGTGAAGACCTGAGGATGGAGAGTTGGCATTCAGAAACTTATTTAACTATCCGAGAAGTTAGTTAAGAACTCAAAACAGAAACTGATACTACATAAATCTTCAGTTATTTTATAGCTTTGTCCCAGTATGGGACACACCCTCTTACTCCACAACCTTTCTCTGCAACTAAGCAGACTCTTCGATAATCTAACCCTGCAATTAAAGACCATTTGAAAACATGTCCAAACATTTTTGCTTCTGGCCTTAAGCAGAGTCTTGGCAACCCAAAAGAATTAATGCCCCCTTTCAGTCACTACCTGACACCAGAGAATCGCTGAATGGGATAGAGATGCATGCAGTGCAAACTTCCTGTTTCATTCCCTTCTAATTGCTGGGTAGGAAGAGAACATTTTTAAAAGGGTAACATGAATTGACAGGTGGAAGTCACCATGCTCAAGTTACTGATCCAAGTTTGGATGTCATTATTAAAAAAAAAAAAACCAGATTAAGATGTTAAACTCATTTGAAGGGCATGAAAAAAAAAGTAAAAGCAGGTTTAAGTCAGAAAATTATGAAAATTACTTCAGAGTAGGTATATTTTTACTTACATGAATTAAAATCTTAAATAAATACTCACATACACATTCATATCCTAAGCTCAATTTGGCAGGCTGTTCGAGTGCCATCTGGGAACCATATTTCTGAGAAATGACTTTACGGTATTGCCACTAAATCAAGCATCCTTTTGAAGCTCTAGAGAACAGTTAAATCCTTAAAATATCGTTTTGAGCCTCCTTTATTTTCATGAGGGAAATATGGTAACACTAATTGTTTCCAACTACTGTTCCTTTGTCAAATAGTATGTGTAAAAAAAAAAAATCAATTTCTGTACCCTCCCTTTGATAGACATCTTTTAAAAACTGAAACATTTAAAATTACCATTTATACCTAAAATATTAATAGCCTAAATGGAAGAGTGAGTCTGTACTAGAAAATAATTTTTCTTTGCATAATTGCAATAGCGTGCTCAAAAGCATGGCCATCCTGTAATTGTATTATGAACAGAATGCATCTAAGGAAGTGCTATAAACTGGATTGGAATGATAAGGGGGTAGAAAGAAGAAACATGTTTACAATCTGTTCAAATTCTCAGCTTAAAAATTTCAATATGTAATTCGTTAGGGCAATGGTTTAAATACGGAACTTTGTTTCAGAGCCAAGTTGCTAAAAATATAAAGTTAAAACCTTTAATATTCAACTCTGCCTTTCTGCCAACTTTGGTTCCTCTAATACAGGACAACCTCCAGACTACTCTGTTGAGCTGCTTTCTACAACAAGCAATTGCTCGGTGCCACTGAGTGACCAGATGCCACCCCAAAGAGCATGACATTTGCTATCGGAGCTCTCCAGTGCGCTGTGGCATGATGCTGGGGTCACGGTGCTTACTCTGCTCCAGGCCTTCTATAGAAAGTGTGCAAAGACAGCTCCATACGAGTCACACCACCTCTTCTCTGTGGATAGTGTTTCTGAGTTCAGTATGGACATTTAGGAAATGGTTAATAATAATGATGCCGTTATTCATTGGTACAGAAGCTAAATTTCATGGCCTCAGTAAACATCTCACCTAGGGTAACTTCAACCTCAATCTACCGTAATTCATGAAGGCAAACTCACAAACTTGCTTTTCCCTGTTGGGGAAAAGAAAGTGTCAAGATGGATCCTACTCATTCAAGTCAGGAATGTCAAAATTAAAAGTATTAACTGATAATTGAGTATATGCAGTCCCAAAATAAATGAATAATTCAAACACACTTGGAAAAGTTCCAACTACTTCCTACAAGAAGTAATTGTTAGAAAATTTAGATCACGGGGCGCCTGGGTGGCTCAGTCATTAAGCGTCTGCCTGTGTTGCGGTCAAATAAATAAATAAAATCTTAAAAAAAAAAAATTTTAGATCACGTATTAATATGTATAATTATAGAAATATAAAGAGTACCCTGGTTCTGTTTGACCAGTGGAAAAGTTTTTATTGCAAATCTGTAGTTGCTGGAAAATAAGTTTTTGTAGTTAGGGTCTGGATTTTTGAAATTATTGACTAGCAATATCTCTCTAAATTGGTTGCCTCTGCTCCGCCCCTCATTGCTACCCCACACAACTCTCCCGGCTCCGTGGGCCATCCATGTTTTTTTGGGGGCGGGGAGAGGGGTTGGGTTTTGTTTTTTTGTTGTTTTTTTTTAAATCACTGCTGCCCTCTAACAAGAAATACCTCATGTTTGCCAGCATGGAGGTTTATCGACTGTCCTCTCCTATTTGCTTTCAGTGTGTCATACAAATACGCATGTTAGATCACACTCGTCTACGAACTGCTCATGCAGTCTTAGCACGTGAGCTCCAATAGAGCATTTAAAATAATCGAGTACTTCGCCCCATTTTTGCTAGTTTTAATGTATACAGATGAGCAAAATAATGTCAAGGTTACTTGACACAGTACTGCACATTCAAGTGATAATGAGCTTTCCTTTTTAAATGGGCAAACATGCTAACACGGAAATACATAAATGATTATAGTAATATAAGTAAAAAGTTACATTTTAGCAGAATGTAAAGTCAGCCAGTAGCCTTCATTTCCACATGATTAGCTTGCTGGCAGAGTGGAAATAAGGAATTTTAAGGCTAAGTCAGGGTTTCTCAACCTCAACACTACCGACATTTGGGGCTGGAAAATTCTTTGTTATGGGGACTATGTTGTCCATTAAAGGGTATTTAGCAGCATTCCTGACCCACAAGATGCCAGTAGCACTCCCAGCTCAACTATATTGACAAAACTATCTCTCAACCTTGCCAAACGTCCACTGGGGGAACAAAACTGCTCCCATTTGAAAACCACTAGTCTAACCAACACCAACTCCTTTAATCTACAATAATGATAGGAGGAGATCTGACCTACCGAAGTCTCCGCATTATATAAGAAAACTAAAAACTAAGAAATACACGGATATTTAGTAACCAATAATTTGCTTTCCCATAAACTTGCTTCCTTTTATAAAATTGCAATCTCAGGGCAGAAGAGCCATAGCCAACATTTTTAAATAAGCCATTTGTCAACTCGCTCAAGTCTCATAACCGGGAGGCTCCCGGGCTTCCGTTGCGGCAGACCCAAGGTCAAGCCCTGGGCTCTTTGGTCCGACAAGATGGAATTATCAGGGGAAATGTTCCTAAGCAGAGTCCAGGCTCTCAGGCTTGCCGGCCACTACCTAGGCACACCTTTATGAACTTGCGGTTTCCACTGAAACAAGTTGTTCTGCTTACTTCCTACTCCAGCTCTAACTACGTGACCTCCCAGTTTCAGTTTGTCAGTGATTTAATTTCCCTCGAGACTGAGCCCAGGTACTGATCTTTTTCCTAAACGCTTTCGACCCAACATCTCATGAAGCAGATTCCAGGCAAGTTTTGCTAGGAGCATTCTTGGAATAGAAGCCAACAAACATGTTTTGCCTAATCGGTAGCCTGCTCAAACATCTGCTACAGAGTTTCAAAACAGTATGATTGTGGGGGGGGGGGGGGGGAGGTGTTTTCCTTAAGTTGTCCCTGTTCATTAAGAATAAAGTACTTTCTAAGTGAAAACTTTTTCTGCCCATCAGATAAGTCTCAAGAGAAGGCTGATCAGGAAAAATAAAACAAAGTCATCCATGCAGTTATTTTTCATGGATATCAAGCATGACCTCACAACACCGCAGAAGTAAACATGCCATTTTGGTGATGAAACTTAGGAACAAGCTATCTTCCAATTAATCAGAAATGCAGAAAGACCCATCCCTGCTATACACTTACCAAGGCTGTGTAGTTTAGAAATGCTAATTCAACAGAACTGGAAGCATATAAGTCCAAAATGGCTTGTTCGTTTAAAAATATGTACTGTTAGGCTTTGAAAAGATGAATTAATTCTATCTGGACTTTTAGCTTTTACTACTAAAAGACCATGCGTACTGTGATACTTATACACACGGTTATTTTTCTTTAAGAAAAATTATTGGCCATTTTTAAGATTTTACCATCAATTCTTAAAAAGCTTCAAAGCTACTACAATAGGATATCAACCATATAAACTAAATCTTTGTCTAAAATGGTAGAAACTAATCTTTCCATTTCTATTATTGCTACAGCTAGAATAAGGCATTTATATTCTCTCCTTTTAAAAAATATTAACTAGCTTTAAGGGCCATGATAAAGAGGTCATCATTTCTACAAAATTAAATCATTTTCCTATCACGATTATCTGGTAACACGAGTTTATTCTGATTCACTGAAAGCAAATTAGATTTATAGGGGGGAAAACAATCCCATAGGAGCTTAAAACCAGATTTCCTGAAACCATACACTCCTACATGACACCATTTTCCATCTAAAACACAACAGAGACACCTGCACACATTTTCACCCCCACTTTCACTTTCTCATCCATACTATTAAAATAGTGAAAAACAGTTCATTTCTAGAAATCATCCACAATTGACAAGGTCATTAGCATTCCATGTTGGTGCCAGGCATCGCTGCCTTCCAAATTACAAAAGAAAGTCTCTTTAGCCACTGTCCCAGTCTCATTTTTGTTAGTCTTAATTCCAAATATAAAGATCACATTAAAATCATCCTTTTTACTCTGTAAACTATAATATAACCTCTAAAGTCACTCTATAACATGCACCCTCACTATTAGCAACCAAACACTACCATGTTGGACAAGCATTAAACTATAAACTACCATTTTAGTTTGTATAGAGAGTTAAAATAACAACATGTGATGGTCTCAATCACAGACAGCTTCACATTCATAGTCCCTAAGCTATTTTTTAAATAATCAGTTTTGGAATGAGAACAGAGGAAGACAGAGGAACGATTTTTCAGTAATCATAACATCTCAGAAATTCTTTGCACTTCAGCCACAAGCCCTGAGCTGAAAAAAATAGATAACAAACCAGTGAAACTTACCTGACGGTGACTCGGTTTGATAAATCCTGTAGATCGCCAGGATGGAAAAGCTGGGCTTCTTTCAATCCAATCTGTTCACAAGCTTTCAAAAAAACGTTTATATTATCCTGTGAAAAGAAGTGGAAAGTGACTGCTTAGCCGAGCTCTCTCTCAAACAAAGGGTACAAATTTTTATGATAGAACTTCTAGGCTTCAAAGTCCAATTACAGCCAGCAAAAAAGGAGGCAGCAAGACCGATGCATACATTTTTTTTTTTTTTAATTACACGGGCATGTATAGCCTTTCTGTCTTGCAGAGCATAAACGGTAGCGCTAGCTTATGCCCGGGCATACGCTGTTCTGTGATCTTTGTGACCGGCACGTTAAACATTACCTGTTACAGGACAAGTGCCTAGCCACTGAGCAGTAATCTACACTTTGATGTCAGCTCTGCTCTGCAAACAAACGCCCTCTTCTCAGCTTTGCATGACAAGCCTCACCTCTCCTCTTTAAAAATAACTCCAGCTACTGACATTCACCCACCCAGAAACTGTTGGCAGGGAAGAAATAAGAGGAGGCACATTCTGTTTCTATGATTACAAATTGCAGAACGACTGTGGAATACCACACCTGGAATCTGGGTTCGGTTGCTGAGCCGGCTCTTGACAGACAGGGAAACCATACTATAGGACCCAGGAGAAGCCTAATGTTCATTGGCCAAATCACATAGTTTAGGTGTGGTACATTATTCACGCCCTGCACCTGCTTCAGGAACTGCCTCCAACAAAATGAAAATCTAGGTTGTCCTCCTAGCTAATTTCAAAAACCAAAATCCTCCTTTCACAAACCAATGCTTTTCATTCCTGTCAACTGCTGCCCAAACACTGGCTACTACAGACGCACATTTGGTGAGCAGAATCAGCTTGAGCTTCCCTCTTCTCTTTTAGGAGGTTGAGCTTGTGAAGATCTCACGGGGACTCTACCGTCTCCTTATTAGGACTCTCGGGGAAGAGAATGGGCTGCTAGCACGCCAACACACGTTCAAGCACTTGTAAACACTGGCCCCACCTCATCTGTAGCGAGAGAGGGCCTCCTGAAAACTCACCTCCCTAACAGCTTGTGAGGAACCAGAAGATAGCGTGCCCCTTGGAGAAAGACAATTACTCCTGTCCCATATGGAGAAGCTCATCCCCATGAGAAAAGACAGGGTGGCCCAGCAAAGTGGGAAGGAATGATAGAGAAGCCAGGATGAAGAAGCTAAATTCAACAGCATGGATTCTTGGAGAGTGAGGGGGTTTAGGGAAAGGGTAAGCAAATGTATGGCAAAAGAAAAGCAATACTGACTACTAGGGCCTAAGGGACATTCAAAACTAAGTATTTGTAGAGATGAGAGATTATTTTAGTGTACTGTAAGTAGAAGGCAGTGTGAACTACACAACTGAAAGCTGAAATCCATGATTGGTTTTTTTTTCTCCCAAGATTTTATTTAAATTCAAGTTCATTAACATATAGTGTAGTATTGGTTTCAGGAGTAGAATTTAGTGATTTATCACTTACATACAACACCAGTGCTCATCCCAACAAGTGCCCTCCTCAATGCCCATCACCCATTTAGCCCAGCCCCCCCACACACACCTCTCCTCCAGCAACCCTCCGTTTGTTCTCTGTAGTTGAGAGTCTCTTATGGTTTGCCTCCCTCTCTGTTTTTATCTTATTTTTCTTTCTCTTCCATACGTTCATCTGTTTTGTTTCTTAAATTCCACATACGAGTGAAATAATACGGTATTTGTCTTTCTCGGACTTATTTGGCTTAGCATAATACACTCTAGTTCCATCCCTGTCATTGCAAATGGCAAGATTTCATTCTTTTTGATGGCTGAGTAATATTCCATTGTGTATATATGCCGTATCTTCTTTATCCATTCATCAGTTGATGGGCACTGGGGCTCTTCCCATAATTTGGCTATTGTGCAATCCATGATCATTTTAAATAAGAGTCTGAAGATTAAAAGAATTTATAAGTCAAAAGTTGAACAACTCAATGGAAGTGTTCAATCTGACTTAGTGGAAAAAGGGGGGAATAACATGTTGGCAAAATTCCAGAAAGAGCAAAAGTGATCATTTTGTTAAGCTCACATAATTTCCTATACTATCTCATTACTCAATTATTCAAATTAACAGTTCTAAAACTGGCCTTCAGAGAAGCAGACAAGAACAAATGGCTTGGTGTCCTAGTACCCCAAATCTCACAGGAAGAAAAGCACATCTCTAAAGAGGAAAAACAAACCATTAGAAATAGTCCCACAAAAAGAAAGGGGGTGGGGAGGGAAGGAGGAGAAAAGAAAAAAAAGTCTTCCCACAAATTTAATTTGGTTCTGAATGTTTAAAATGTTATAAAACGTTATGACAAAGTTAAACTGAAAGTAAACCTATTGAATGGACAGCGAAAATAATTCTTCATGTGTTTTTTAAAAACATAATAGCATTCATCCGGTTGACAAATATGTACCTACTGATAAAAGTAAATAAAGCCCCATATGCCTCAAAACCCATTCACCTAATTTAGAAAGAAACCACTTCAAATCTAGAGTGATTATAGTTCATTAGACACAATAAAAATAGGTTATGATTAAATTCTAGTTTTAAATAAAGCCATTACATTAAAAAGCAGTTTCTTTTAAAGAGTTCAGTGATGCTCAAGACAAACTTTACAAACAAGGCCCCACAGCAGCATATGCAGCAGGAACAAGTTGTATTAAGATCAGAATTGCAACGTAAATCCTGCTTACTGGACTTGAGCCCATTGGTAATTTATTTATTTATTTATTTATTTATTTTTAAAGATTTTATTTATTTATTTGAGAGAGAGACAATGAGAGACAGAGAGCATGAGAGGAAGGAGGGTCAGAGGGAGAAGCAGACTCCCCGCTGAGCAGGGAGCCCGATGCGGGACTCGATCCCGGGACTCCAGGATCATGACATGAGCCGAAGGCAGTCGCTTAACCAACTGAGCCACCCAGGCGCCCGGTAATTTATTTTTTGTGATTTCAAAAGACCTAGGCAGAGAGTTGCCTAAGGGGAGATACAAAATTATAAAATAAACTTTTAGTATCTGTTGGAACATAAAGAAGCCACACCCCGCTCAACATATTAAAAGGGAAGCATTTAAAAGTTTTCATTAATGGAATCATTTGCACTTTAAACCAGCAAAGATAAAGTAAAAACAAAGAACATGAAACATCTTCTCATTGGACTGTTAGCCAGGACTCCAAGTTAGCTCGGCCACTAACCAACTGTGTGGCTTTGGAAACATTCATCAGCCTTTCCGGCCCCATTTTCCTCATCTGTGAAATGAGTAGTTTCTGGATCTGTACCCCATTCCCTAGGGCACACAGCTCTCTGCAAGAGGAGGGAAGCCCGCCCTCTCTAACCCAACCCTCAATACTTCATGTCAAAAGCCTGCACCAAGCTTCTGCTCTTCTACACACTGAGGACCAAAAGTGGCTTCACAAAAACAAAACAAAAGGAGATCAGCAATAGCTCCTTTCAGAGTCATTTATCTAGGACATGAATAAAAGCAGACTATTTAAACAGACAAGGCAGGATGGCTTAAGATTTTCATATTCTCCCCCAAACCCTCTCCACCCCTTAGCCTTGAATCAATTACAAAGTTAATCATAACAGGTGGAGGGGGCGAGGGTAAATTAGAGAGAGATTAGTGAGTCAGGAACACTATTTGCTCACAACTGAGGAAAGATAAGGAATCCACAAAAATTTACCAATATTCCCAGGTTTATATTAGTCCACTGGGGTACCTCTATTGATTATCTACCACTACAGAGCTAGTTATCCCAAAACTTAGCAGCTTAAAACAATAGACATTTATGATACCACAGTTTTTGAAGGTCAGGAATTCAGGAGTAACCCAAGTTGGATGGGTCTGGCGTGGAGGTCTCTGACTAGGTTGTAGATGTTAGACCAGAGTGTAATCATCTAAGACCTTCCTGGGGCCTGAAGAAGCCACCTCCAAGATGATACACTCAGAGCTGGCAAGTTGGGGCTGGTTATTGGCAGGAAGCCTCAGTTCTTTACCAAACAGACATCTCCATTAGGCTGCCGGACAGAATGAATGATCCCAAAACAAGTAAGATGGCACCTGCAGTATCTCCTGGCCTATCTCTTCAAGTCCTGTATCACTATTTCCTCAGCATCCAGCCCTATTCAATGTAGGGAGGACTACACAAGGACATAAGGAGCAGGAGGTGGGATCACTGAGGACCAGGTACCACAGTTCACTACTCTCTAGCCCCAAGGATTCATGTCCCTCCCACATGCAAAATACACTAACCCTTTCCCAAAGCCCTGGAAATGCTACCCCCTTTACAAGGTGAGCTCAAAGTCTGGAATCTCATCTAAACCAGATCCAGGTTTACATGAGGCTCCTCACCTGTAGATCCTTAAGGATAGCCCTCGAATACAGTTCCTCTCAATGTGAATGTCAGTGAACTAAAGTGACAAGTTACCTTCCCCCTCCCCCCCACATCCAACATAGAGTGGTGTAGGGTAACCTCTAGACATATTCTAGTTCAAAGTGTGGAGAAATTAAGGTACACAGGAGTCACTGATCCACAGAAACCCTGCAAGGCATAGATTGGTAGGTCCTTCATTAGGATTCAAGGCCAGCAAACACCTCATGGATTTTTGCTTTACCCTCTGGACTCCTGATTCCACCTTACTATCACCTTTTACTTCCTTGAAAAGTAGCTTGTGTTCACAGGTATGTAGCTCTTTCAGTCGGCTTCCTCACTGTCAAAGTTCAGGGAACTAAAGGTCTTTTAATTTCGTAATCCTCTGTCCTTTTCAGTCTTCTTTTACAGTGCTTCTGCAAATACAAACCCCTCAATACTTTTATGAGTCCTACTGGACTTAAACTCATTAGACAAAAGCCACACCCACCTGTGGCTTTAAGAGAAGCCCTTCTCCGTCTTGGTCTGCTGGGAGGACAGAGGGATATCACCTTTATGCTCTTAGAAGACCTACTGCCTGACAGGATAGACTTCCAAGGTACTACTTTGGATCTTTCCAAGATCTTAAAGGATTTTACAGCCTCAGCCTCAGCTTCACCTTCA